CGACGACATCGTCATCTACGTGCTTAGTGCGTGCGGAGAGTAAGCTTACTCTCATTGATGATGGCTTTGCCGATCTCTGAGGCCGTCTCTTGGAACTCCCTGCAAACAAACGTGCATGGCGCGCAACGTTGTTAGCAGAAGCTGAGGCCCTGTGGAGGCGCTCGACACGCTGAAAGTGGGGGAGGGGTGGGCGTACAGGAAGAGCTTGTAGATGGAATAGGTCCGCTGCAGTACCACCTCGGGGTCATCACCCAGGAGAGGTTCGCAGAGGCTCTGGAACTCTTCGTTCCATTGCCTCCCGTCCTGCTTCACCTTGACTTCGTCTCTGGGCTTGGCGTGGTTGTCTTCCGCCCCGCTCGAGTCGCTGTCGCTGTCGCTCGAGCTCTCCTCCGAGTCAGAGGCCGACGACGATGCGGAATCCAGGTCGCTTTCGGCGTCGCTGCTGTCGCCATCGCCGTCGCTATCGCTATCGCTATCGCTGTCGCTGTCGCTGTCCCTTGAGGCGTCCTTGCGGCGTGGCTCGACATCAGAATAAGCCTGCGTGCGCACGAACATGTGAGTGAGCACTCGAACCTAAGCGCGCACTTGGGGGAAGGCAGAAATTACATCTGACGTGTTCGCCTCTGAAGGGGTCTCGGAGTAACCGACCGAAGAGCCTTCGCTGGACGGTGTCACGGGCTCGGCTTCACCCTGCCAGCGTACGCAAAGTGGTATATCTCAACTCCGGGCATGCACTATAACACCACACGCAACGTGAGAGTGGCGTACGGTGAAGGTCTCGCCGGCGTAGGCATGTGCCAGCTCCTCGCTCTTCTTACTTTTGGGCTTGCGTAGCTGCTGCGGCTTGACCTTCTTGGGCTTGGCCTCGACCTCGGCATAGCCGTCCTATCCAACGGCGACAAACACGCGAATGTAAGCAGGACGGGACAGCGGACGGCTCACACGACCGCAGATTAGCTTCGCCGAGAGCTCGTACCCCGACGCCAGCGTATGCACCCTCGGGGACCTTGGTCGGCTTTCGTGCCTGCAGGCGCGCGCGTGGGAGCGTGGTGAGCACAATGCGCTGGCAATGGCACCATAGTACACGACCGCGCACCTCCTCCGCCTCCAGCTCGCGCTCCTCGGCGGGCGTGAGCGCATANNNCGACTGTCGAGGAGCGATTCCCTAGTCTCCTCGATATCCTCGTACCGCGTTGTTGCTCGCCTCATAGCAGTCGAACCCGTAAACGCTCTGCATCCTGGCTTCCTCTGTACTCGGGCGCACATCGTGTTACTATCAGAAGCCCATCAAAGAAGTGGGAGTGCCATGTCTGGCCATGCAAGCACACGCACCATCGGCCGCCGAACCGTACGCCTGCGACATCGCCGCGCCTTCTGCTTCTGCCAGGAGAATGGGCAACAAGATAAGAGTCACTTGATGAAGTGTCGCGCGCAATGCAAGGGTTCGCGCTGGGGTGCAAGGGCTTACCGTCATCAGTGGCATAGACGGAGCTGGGGGCTTGGCCGTCAGCAGCGCCGTAGGCCGACGCGTTCACATCCTCTTGCTCGGCTGCCGCGGAAGGTACCGCGTAGGCAGACGCTGGGACAGCGGACGAGAAGAAGGGGAGGAACGATTCATCCTGCACGTAGACAGATGACGAGGAGCCACCAGCAGCGGATGCGGCAGAGGTGGCGGTGCCGTAGGGGTCGAACTTGGCCAACCGCTCTTGCTCCTCACGTTCGCGCTTCAGCAGCGCCTCATCGATGGCAAAATCTCTTTCTCCCCCCATGGCCTTCTTGGATTTCTTGGCAGGTTTGGATGATTTCTTCATCTTCTTCTCCTTCTTCTTGGCCTTTTTGGCCTTGCCACCATCGCCTTGCTTGGCGGATGAGCGAGGCGGGGTGGCTCCGTCGTGCACGGCGTAGCCGCTCTCTTCGCCGTCGTCATCTTTTTCGTAGACGTCCGCCGTTTCGCCTTCGTTGTACATATCGACATATCCCGACTTGGGCGTCTCCTCCTTCGTCGGCGGCTCCGCGTAGCCGTCCATGGTGCTCGTAGCAAGGATGATAAATCAAAAACACTTTCTCTTCCCCTCCTGTTCAACGTAGAGCAAATTAAATTGATTGAATTAGGTGAAAAGAAAAAAGAATTATTATATTAAAAAAGAAAAGAAGGCCTCAAGCATCAAGATGGCTGTTGCTGTGACGGTGCGTCGGGGGCGTAGAGTTTGGTGTCGATTCTGTACATGTTGCCGTATTGGATGGTCGGTTTGTGCCTTTCGTCCACCTCGGTGATGCACACCGCTATGGCTGCAGATACAGACGTTGCGAGACATTCGCCAAGGGTAAGTGGATGCGCGCAAGAAGGGGAACACCACCAGCAAAGCGGGAGGAAGGACGTACTGTCGGCATCCATGATGCGGTACGTTGCTGTGACGGTAGAGGAGCGGATGAAAAAATTGAGTATGGCTACGGACGTCTTGTCCATGAACTGACCGTGGCAGGTGTCGCCTACACGAAGAAGCCATCAAACGAGTATGGTAAGGAAAGGGAAGTTGCTCCACCATGGCAAGTGTCGTGTCTTACCGCTGTATTGCCACTCGAGGTAGACGTCGTTGTTCTTAGCTTTCGGCTCGAACTGTGAGTGATGAGCTGGTTAGCTCGCTTGGATAGTAGTTGTTGTTTAGGCGTTCATGTTTGTGATGTGCTTGCTCCTCATACCTTCATGATGTAACCAAATTGGAGATCCTGCTTCTCCAAGCTCTTACCAAAGCTCCATTTTAGGTATCTGCAGCAATGTGCACGTAAGTAAGCACTCGCCTAAGCATGTAGGCAGTATCGTACCTAACACCGGGAGTGGTGTCCAGGCGCTGGTACTCCTCGATGAGGACAACTGTGTTACTTGTTCGCACGTGCGCGTAGGTGCCGCCAAACTCGCGCCACTCTGCACGCACAGAAGAGGCATGGCGGTGAGCGTGGGCGCCAGAGGCAATACTGCGCAGTAATTGTGACTACAGTGAGGGAAGGGTACCCAGGTTGCGCTTCCACGCCCCCACCAAGAATTTGTAGAAATCGTCATCGGGCAAGTTGAACTGCAGGACCATAACGGAGGAGATTGGTTGAACGGAGGGGGGGAGAATAAATTGGACTGGAAATAAATTCAGTACTGAATTAATGGCAACGCACTTTGTTGCTTGGCCGAGCCCTGGGCGGTGGTTCATCTCGAACGACACCAAGCCGTTTGTGCAGGCCGTTCCTACCCTCCATCGTGATCGTGGTCCACTTTTGTAGATTCGCTAAATCAACAAACCAAAATAATTGATTATTTCTTTTTTATTCGCCGACACGTGGGAAAAGCTGCACCTTCCCGCGCAGCCCCGTCGCTTCTGCCAACAACGTGCGCGCGCCCAGCAGACGGTGTGGCAGATGGCGGCCTGCCCCTCTTGTTTCTCGCATGGCTCTTGGTTCTCGATCAGACTTGGTGGAGCCCAGACCAGCTGTGGATAGTCTCGCGCTTCATTTTGAGCACGGGCCAATGGCACTCGTTTGTTGTTGTTGTTCCCCACAAAGCAAAAGGTTTTGTTTTCTACGTTCTTGTTCTGGTGTTGGTGCGGTGGATCGGCTGGAGAGGCGGGTGGACCACACGTTCGTGAATGACGTTCATTCGTGTCTTGGCCGTGCTGGCCCTGTGCCTGGTCGCATCTGCCATTTCTGCCGGCGCAACCGAAATCGTTTCGGCATCGCTTCATCGTCGATCAACGATTGACATCACCGACTCCCCCCTAGTCCGTGCTTCAAATCATTCGCAGGAAAATGTTTCAATCACCATACAGGTGGGTTTCATTCACGAAATCGCATCGCTTCGCTCAGAAGATCGCCAAGGTGGCATCAATTTCGCACGGCTCTACGCCGACGGAGCGGCAGCCCACATCTTGTTCCGCGATGTCAAGTACACCGAGATCACCCCTTTCGTCGAGTTTGAAATCGAGGGACGCGACCTCCTGAACCACACCGCCGTTACCTTCGTTCTGTTGAATCGCACCGACGGCGCCATTCTCGCCAACTTCACCGCCTCCGTACGTCCATACCTTTTCTTTAAGCAGCTATTTATTTATTTATTTATTTGTATTTATGTTGATGTAAAATCTATTTATCTCTGTCTCCATCAATGTTGCTTTCCAGGTGGTTGACGGAGAGCAAGTCACGGTGGTTGGCATCGATGAAGGTAAAACCATCAACGCCATGATCCTGGATAACATTAAGAGGTACTACAAAATGCACACACGCGCACTCGCGCACACAACGCCAGACGCACACAACGCGTGCACACACTGACGGCTTGCTGCAGGTCAACAACAGCTACGGCATGGACCTGGCAGCGGTGCGCTTCATCAACGTTGCCACCAACATCACCGACATCACCGTCTTTGGAGTGTCTGCCAACTGCTATCGCTGCGTGGCCCTACCCATCGTCTCCTTCAACGCCACACGCAGGGCGACCCCGTACCTGGCCCTCGATACCACCTTTTCGATCGCCTTCAAGCTCCTCGACGTCAGCGGGGAGGACCTCGTCTTCCTGCTGCCCCACCTGGACCTCAGCTCGGCCGACCTGCGTCAGCGCCACGACGAAGCAGCCCTTCGCGCGCTGATCGAGCTCCACCACGACACGCACGACGAAGAGGGCCGACCGCTGGCCGGCGCCGGCCTGATCAGCAGCTTCGACTACCACTTCGGCGAGCACGGCGTATACACGGTCATCTTCCGTGATGCGACCCAGCCCGAGACGGACAAGGGCCTCGTCGTGGCGCAGATCGAGGTGTCGAGCGAGCCGGACGACCCCAACGTGCCGATCTACGTCGCCATGGGCATCATCGGTGCGCTGACCATCGTGTACCTGGTGGGCACCTACGTCTGGCGCTTCGGCTCTAGGGCGTGGGAGGAGCACCAGCACAAGAAGAACGGCGGCGACGCCCTCGATTCCATGTATGGCGGCGGCCAGGTACCATACGCCCTCCGCCAGAAGATGTCTGCTGCTGTAGGCCGCTGTCTCACGCGATTTGGTACGTACGGAATGCCAGGCTGACAGGCAGAACGGCCCAAAGCCGGCACCGAGAGTGAGCTCGCGAGTCAATTCGCTTGATGCTGTTCGCGGTCTAGCGATCGCCATCATGATCTTCGTCAACTATGGAGGAGGTACCCAATTCGCAAACGATATATGGCAATTGTGTGTGTGTGTGTGTGTGTGTGTTACTGAGTTCTTCGCTACACTTTCTTCTCGACATTGAAGGTGGCTACTGGTTCTTCAACCACTCGGCGTGGAACGGCATCACGGTGGCCGATCTGGTGTTCCCGTGGTTCATCTGGATCATGGGCACCTCCATGGCCATCTCCTTCACCTCCCTGGAGAAGAAGCGTACCCCCAAGCGCGAGGTGCTCTACAAGATCATCCGCCGTTTCATCATTCTCGCAGGTTGGCATCCACCTGGCTCCTGCGTCATGGCAACATGTGCGACCGTGTCACTGACGTCGTACATTCAGTTCTGGGTCTGTTCCAGAACAACGGCTACGAGTGGGAGACGTGGCGTATCCCGGGCGTCCTGATGCGCTTCGCCGTAGCGTACCTCGTTGTGGGCGTCGTGGTCCTGTTTGTGCCCAGGTGGCCGTGGCGGTTGACCTACCGTATCTACCGCCGGTTTACCTCCGGCGGCCACCACCGACACGCCGCCGACGGAGCCGCGTCGCCCATCCTCGAGCGCAAGCGATTTGCCAGCGAAGCCATCAACTTCGACGAGGACACTGACAAAAGCGATGACGGGTTCTCGCGCAACGTGTTCGCCGCGGAGGACGACGAAAGCTGCGAGAACATGATGAAGGTTACACGACACACACGGCACACACGCGCGCATGCAAGTTCAAGGGGGTGCTGACGTACGTGCGGCTGCACATACACAATCAGGACAAGTGGGTCTATACCCTGTTCGGAGACATTCTGCCGTTCTGGCCGCATTGGCTGGTGGCGTTCTCGCTCCTCTTCGTGTACTTCATGATCACCTTCTTCCTCGACGTTCCCGGCTGCGGCAGGGGCTACCTCGGGCCCGGTACCCTCATTCCCTCCTGTACCGGTATGGTCGTGCGTGTGTGTGGTTTCTCACTGCTGTGTGCGCAAAAGGTGGCATTGGCGACTACGGCAGATATTTCGACTGCTACGGGCGGAGCTGCGGGCTACATCGACAAGAAGATCTTCACCGAGGACCACATCTACAACCAGCCCACGTGCCAACGTACGTCTGGTTTCACATCAGGTGATTGCACGCCAAACCTCACATGTGGTGGTCGGTTGTGATGTTTACATCAGCGCTCTACCTCACGGGCTCGTACGATCCCGAGGGCACCCTGGGCAACCTCACCTCCATCTTCATGGTAATCCCCCCCCCCCGCTCCTTTCCATTCGTCGCGACTCTTTGGCTCTAAACTTCAAAACGTGCGCAGGTATTCCTGGGCCTGCAGTCTGGCCGGACGCTGATGGCGTGGAAGGACCACAAGCACCGCGTTGTGCGGTGGTATATCTGGAGCATCGTCCTGGGTACGCATCTTATCTTCGCCTCCGCCTTCCCTGGCGGTCGACTGTTACTTACAGTACTCGTGGCATGTTCAGGCTTCATCGCTCTTGGTTTGTGCGAGGCCAAGCAGAACGGCGGCTTCTTCCCACTCAACAAGAACTTGTACCGCCCCCCCCCCAACTCCCTGCGCTCCCTGCGAAGGTGGAAGGTGCCAAATCGACTCCAATCTCAATCTCTCCTCTTTTTCCGCTTTTCAGGTGGTCACCGTCGTTCATTCTGGCCACCGCCGCGATGGCCTTCTTCCTGCTGGCCACCTTCTATTTATTGATCGACGTCTTCCCCATCTGGAGCGGCTCACCCTTCCGCTTCATCGGTACCCCCCCGCAGCCTTCTGTTGCGATGAGTCATCGTCATTTCTGCCACCAACGCTCACGTGTGGTTGCCGCGCAGGAATGAACCCGATTCTGATCTACTTGAGTCATGAGATCCTCAACGGGTATATGCCGTTCAGCTGGGACCCCTACGGCGACAACACCCACCGCATGAATCTCGCGATGAACCTCACCGGCATGTCCATGTGGTGTCTCATCGCCTACTGGATGTACTGCCACAAGTTTTTTATCAGCATCTGAGTTCACACCTTTTGTATCCTCACCTTCTTCATCTTCTTTGCTCCCCATAAAACGTTTTACTTACCACCCAGCTCACCCCACTAGGAGGGGATTGGTTGATGCGCGGCTTCGTACTCGCGATCCCTCCTCGGGAATGTCGCTGCCAAACCCAGACGGCAGAACCGAGAAGCCTCGATCAAGGCGGATGGTGCTCCCTGTCCGATGCTCGACAGCTCTCGCCCGGGTCGCCCGCGTGCCGCAAGCGATGGGTTGGCTTGCAGTCAGGTCGAAATCCGAGGAAACCAGGGAAGAGGCCAACCGCAGAAAACGATAAAAGTGGAAATTCGGCCAAGATTTCGTTGACCAGGCGACCCGGTAAGCACCCGAAGTACTTGCCCTCCGAGCCCCACCCTCTCGGCCTCTTCTTTCACCAACGACCCAAACACAACACACCACAACATCAACAACAACAACAACAACGTTCACTAACTCAACGCCTACGAGCACCCCAACCACCGCCCTCGACCTGCCAGAGATGGAAGACACGCACACAGAGCATCAGCCGCTACTCGACCAGGAGATGAGCAGACAGGAAGAAGGACATCAGGTGCCAGAGGCACGTGAGGAAGAAGAGAGGCGCCCGGTCGTGCTGTACAAGGGCATCCAGCAGCGGGAGGCCAGCCAGCTGCAGTGCCCCATCCACAAGGGACTCATGCACGACCCGGTCGGCACGGGCAAGTGCAAGCACGTCTTCTGCCGCTCGTGCCTGGCCTCGTGGGTCGCGCTCCAGGGCCACTGCCCGCTCGACGCCCGCCCGGCTCAGGTCGATCAGCTCGTCCCGCCGACGCCGCTGTCGAGAAGCTCAACAGCCTCCTCATCCACTGCAGGGTTCGGCTCCCGCCCAGACCACCATCATCGGAGTGAATGACAACTAAGCGTGTGTGTGTGTGTCGTGTTTGTGTGGTTCAGTGGGGAGTTGTTCAAGACGAAGAGACTGGCGCATGGGTGGCGGCCAGCGGCGAGGGCTACTGCCCGGCGCTGATCGCCATCGGCGACCGCAAGGCCCACGAAGACAGCTGCGCCTACCGCCCTGCTGTTCTGCAGTCGGACGAGGCCACCGGAGGAGCCGCGGGCCAGCTGATGAACCGGCTGCAGTTCCCGCAGGTGCAGGTCAACGTGGAACTGGTCATGCAGGCCCTCAGGACCAACCTCACCCGCTTCGAGCGCGTGCTAGCCGATCGCATGGACGTGCTCCTGGCCCAGGTCCGTTCGCTCATCGAGGAGCAGAACATCCACCGTCTCCGCTCCGGTGCCAGCGGCGCCATGGCCAACTTCAAGTGCGCTCCCCTGTGCTTGCTTGGTAGCTTGAAGGGCGTCTGGGAAATGAAGACTGACGCGCGGTCGTCCACATCAGGGAAGAGATGGAGGCGGCCATTGCCGGGCTGATGGAGAAGCAGGCGCCGCTGTTCAGGAGCATCGCGACCAAGAGCGAGTCCCTGTGCTCGGAGGCGAGCAGCGTGGCTCGGGCCAAGGGCAACGCCCTTTACGAGGGCGCCGTGCACATGCGCCACCAGGCGGCCGTTGCCGGTGGCGAGGCCATCAATAGGCTCGACGTGCTGGCCCAGGAGCTGATGGGCGAGGTCAAGCTGGCCCTCATGCGCAGCCTCGAACCCCAGTCGTGCCCCACCCCTCCCCCGCCCCCTCCGCCCGACTTTGTGCTCGAGGAAGAGCAAGAGGCCGAGGCTCAGGAGGAAGAGGAGCAGGAGCAGGAGGCCGAGCTCAAGACAAGAAGAGGAAGAGGTCGAGGCGCAGCCTCACGTGACCGCACCGGCCTCGGTCACCGTGGAGGACGCCGAATGGGACGACTGCCCGTCCTGGATCCCCGTACGACCCCTGCCATGACTCTTTCTGGCTTCTTCATGGGCTCACTTTTAATCTTCAAAATGTTCGTTGCAGCAGGCCCAGCCCACGCTCCACACACCTCCTCGCTACCCGCCCCCGCCTCCTCCCCGATCGGCCAAGAAGCACACTCACTGAGCGCAGCAGCGGGCACCCCACGGCCCCGTGGTAATAGCTTTCCTCTCTACCTGCACACCCCCCAACTTTACAGCTCGAGATCGGCACTGAGTTGACAAGTCGTGTACACCCCTCCATCTCGTAAATACAACGCTTTCCTTTTTACCGACGGTGTCGACAAAATAGCGGGAGTCCACAAAAGGGAGTCGAGAAAGGCGCCAACATCAAAGAGTAGAGAGACGAGAACAAGTAGCAAAGAGAGAGGGCGAAGAAGAGGATGCAAGACGCGGGTCAACAAGTGCTTCAACTCACGTACTTTGGAGTGCGGGGCTCATGCGACAAGGTCAGGCTGCTGCTGGCTTTGACCGGCCTTGAGTACAGGGAGATCGTCGTACAGGGGAGAGGTACTCTCCAGCCTACCGCTGTGTGCTTCCCCTCTAACGACATCATGCAGAGTTCGCAGGTCTTAAGCACGGCTACGAGTTCGGCCAGTTGCCACTACTCGGTACGTTCTCATGCCATCCCCCCCCCTCCTACTCGGGCTGATGCAGCTGAGCAGAGGACGGAGAGATACGGATCGTGCAAGCGAACGCCATCGTTAGACACCTGGCACGCAAGTGCAACGTGTACGGGACAACCGCCAAGGAAATGGCCGAGTGTGACATGTGGGTAAGTAATAGGCTGCACCGTTAGAAGCTCAGTACTCAGCATCTTCCCTCTGCAGATGGAACAGCTGGAGGAAGTGCAGCAAGCGCTGTGGAATGCCGACTTCATGAAGGTACCTCGCACTGGCTCTTCATATGACTGTCGGCGAGTCTGTACCTTAAGGTTGTCACGCGGCTTCAGGACTGTTCTGAGTTCAAAGAGGCTCAGCTCAAGGACAAGTTCCTGCGCGGGTACTTGGCATCAGCTCTCGAAGGCATTTGCCGCGTCATGGCCAAGAACAGAACGATGTATCTCGTTGGGGACAAGGTACATTGTAGCCCGCGAGCGGCTTGTCATCCAGGTTTGCTGATGTGTGTATCTCCCGGGCATCAGTTGACGTTCGTGGACACGATGCTCTTCTCGCTTCTGGAAGCCATCGACCGTGAGCTTCCCCAGGCACTCGCCACCTTCCCCTTGCTCATCTACTTCCGCGATACCATCAAGCGCCTGCCACGCATCGCCGCCTTCTGCAACTCGGGAAGAAGGTTCTAGGAGACTAGAAGGTTGTAGGTGCCTGGTTGTATCAAAGAACGGCATACGATCCAAATGTTATAACGCGGATTATAATTAGGATTAGAGTGTGAAAAGCGCCGTTGGTCCAGTGGTAGGATCGCCGCCTCCCACGCGGCGGGCCCGGGTTCAATTCCCGGACGGCGCATATCTTTTTCCGTAATGTTGTTGCCATTAGCCATCTTTTTTTTTCATGCGTTGCAGCTTCCCAGGAATATGCAAGACTCACTCTGATGGGGAATCAACCTGTCAGAGCATAACTGTGTAACCAAACAGCAAAAGTCCTCACTTATATGGCACACATGGCGAAGCACTCTCGCTATTGTAGATTTGTCTGATGAACGAAGGAGGACGGAGTTTAGTAGTGCAGCGCCGTTGGTCCAGTGGTAGGATCGCCGCCTCCCACGCGGCGGGCCCGGGTTCAATTCCCGGACGGCGCACATCTTTTACTGAGTCCTCTTTCCCTTGGCATCTGTTCTGCTTCCTCACGTTGGTTTGTAAAAAGGGGGACGTCACGGGAGCACAGCAGGTGGGTTGAGGAGCTGCGCGCGGTCGCAAGAGGGAATGGGCTCGCCCAGTTCGTCAGCGGCAAAGGAAATGAAGGTGCAGTAGCCGTCGGTCGATGTCACTGCGAGCATCTGTCCGTCGCTCGCCCTGATGTGTGCATTGCTTTCATTAGGACGATGGTCTTCAGACTGCAGCTTTTTACTCACGCGTGCATCAGTCGGGGAACGAACCAAGAGAGATCAGTCTGTGAGGCGTAGTGTAGTCCAGTGATGTGGCACAACGGATAGCCGTGCTGAGTGTCATATACGAGCACGCTGTCGAACGTGGCAACGGCAAACACCCTACGAAAGGAAGAATCACGTCAACATTCTGAAGTGAGTACCCGGTACGGCAGACAAGCTTGGCCAAGCGACCAAGGGAAGAGGGGGGGTGTACATTCTGTAATCGAGCTTGAAGGTGGGCGTCGTTTCCGTTGGTCGCAGCTTGTAGATCTGCGGGCTGAAGCGCACGGCCACCGCTGGCTTGGGTCCGCACGGGAGGCACAAGGCCGGCCTGCAAGATTTGAAAGGGGTTGGTTGAACGTGTTCGCTTGCGTCAGGTTTGCCTACGCCAGTACCTGTTCAATACGCCTCTGGTGAAGACGTAAAGGCAGTTTGATGGCAGGTGCTCAGGAGCGACATTCTCCTTGTCGTCCGGCATTGGCACGCTGCTGCTGCTGCTGCTCGCGCTACTACTGCTGGTGTGTACGAATACAGGCGATCAAACATGGGCGTTTACCACACCATGCAAACATCAAGCACGCGCGCGATAAGCGAGCGTACGGGCCAGACGTAGCGTAGAACTGTCCCATAGGTGTCACCAACAGACTACCGTCCAGGCTCCAAGCCAAGCGGCGAAAGAATCTGCATACAATGAAGATGAGGAGACAAAATGAGAATCAAAAGTAATAGAACAAGAGAGTGGTACGCACGATGGGGTTGTCTCGTCGAGGAACAGCTTCTGCTTGTGCGTTTGCACGGGGCCTGAAGCCGCCTTGAAGACGAGGGTCAGCGAATGTATGCGTGCCCCGGGGCCAAGTTCTGATGTGTTCATACCTTGGCCTCAAGTCCAGGCGCCGAGGAGATGACGTTGGCCGTGACCAGTTTGGAGTAGACCACCTTGGCCGGCGAAGGCGCCGTCGCTGGCACGCTGACACCGGACTCCTCCTGCGCTGTATCTTTCTTCACGGCGGGCTGCGATCGCGCCGCCTTGTAGATGCGGACAGTGCGGTCAGAGCTCTGCGTAGAGAGGTACCGGCCGCGCGGGTCCCAAG